TAAAATTCGTTCTTTGTCTATGGTTCGTATCAGCTTTATCAGCTAGGCTTTCATGTTCATCAGCATCATCTTTTTTATTTTGTTGTCGATAAACATAAGCAAGTTTTCTATGTATCAAACCAATATCTTGATCATTCGAATTGTCATTCATGATTATTTCCAATGCGATCTTATAACATGATAATGCATCTTTCAAATTATGCTGTTCTACCCTCACATCACCAATATGTCGATAAAGATAACCTGTTAATCGATTTTTCGTATCTAACAGTGAGTATGCAATACCATAATGAAGTAAAGCTTTATCAAATTCTAACAGGTTAAAGTAATTGTAACCGATAACAATGTGAAGAACTATACGTTGTGATTCATCAATAGTTCTATTAATAACAAGATTGTCGAGATAATCTGCTATAGATTCATAATCGCCCAAACGAATTAATAAATCATAGAAATCTAATTGAAACTTTTTCTTCACTAGATCTTTCGGGTGATATGGAATTTCTGTTAACTTTACCGTATATCTACTGAACATTTTCAAATATTCTGCTTTGAGAAATAAATCTTGAAAACATGTTATAGTATTTAACTGTTCTTTGACACCATCGATAACTTGTTCTATCTGTTCAACGCTTTGGTTACATAGAGTAAGGTTAACAATCCATATCGAATCACTTTCTTTTTGAACAGAGTCAATATGAAAAACTGCACCAACAAAAAATAAAGTTTCTTCTTCGTCAGGAAAATAACCGAGCCCGGTAATATCAGCAAATGGATGAAAAATATTATCACTTGTATTTGAAACAGTAATTTCGAATAACACTCCAAGTTTAGAACCCATGATGAATGTACGTGCTACTCCCTCATTACGTGATGTCGAAAACATTGAATTAACTGATATTAAATGTCTAACATTAGCTTGTAAATCCTTCAATTCTTCTCTACTAATGTTTTGTGCTCGATAAAGTTTTGAATGATCTCTTTGAATTTGCCATTGCATTGTTAATTTCTTTAGTCTTTTATATGCCAGTATGAAAAAAAATCGAAATTTATAAATTAATTCGAGATTTCGTTTACGAAACGCTTGATTTACAAGTCTAAAAACAAAACTGTCTTGGGTATACCACTTTATTACATTATCTTCTGTACATGTCTTTTCAAATTCATTAATATGATTTAACATGGTTGGATTGTCCCTGCATTCTATTCGACACTGCTTGACCATATCTGCCTTCAATTGAGTCATATCTGCATCAGAAGAATCTACTAGATAAGAAATAAATAGCTGATTCAATAGAAATGTATATGACTTTCTATCAAGACTCAGCAAAGATTGTTCGATTTCAAAGTTTTTTAAAGATGAAATCATTATCGGTAAATTATCTGGATATGCCATTTTCATATCTTGACGTAATTTATTAATCAAATCTTTTATATCTGTAAAATTCTGAATCGACTTTGACCTATTTTGTCCTTTCACATAAGTATTTTGTAAAAGATAAATCGAGTGAACTTGACGGTACCGATTGAAATATGATACATATTGAGGTAAATCGTTCAACACCAGTAAAATTATCCGTTCAGTCGTAATAGTTCTAACGAACCTATCACAATCTTCAAAACTACCAAATATTTGTAACGAATCACAAAATTGGTTTAATTCCTCTGGCGAATTTCTGTCTAAAGAAAACCAAACGACAATAAAACCAATGTTACTCTGTGTTTCATCTGATGACCCATTCATTTTAATCAACGCCAACACTCAGTTTTCTTTTAACTTTATATTAACCTTGTCCCTGACAAATTTCTTTTTTTCCAAGATAAATATTTACTATGTTACTCATTCGGTATGTTCCCGAATGAGTAAGTCATCCTCTATTGAAAAGACAAACGCTTTTGTTGACCGAGTGTAAAATCGTTTTTTTTTAGAGTGGGTGTCAATGCAGATGAAAAGAATACTTACACTCACACCCAAAAGGGTAACGATAGATATGAATGAAGATATGAGTCTAGCTTCTATTTCTATTAACTATAGCATCAAGCTTTTGAAAAAAACTTTCTTGGATTCTCAAACATTATGACAGTACATAATTCAAAAGAAAAAATGCCTTCCATCAAGAAATAAAGATCTGCAAGCGAATAGTAATCTTCAGATAGCAGTAAACTAATACTTGCCAGAGACAGAAAATGTCAATAAACTTGTTACCTTTCTTAAATTGAATTTGTTGATTTTTTTTATCGGTTTTCTTATCTTTTGTTTCAAGATTTCAGAAAATGTAAGTCTGTATGCAAAAATGAGTGTATCATCATTGAAAGAAAGAAAAGAATCGAAAGATCGTTACAGAGTAGATATTGACTAGTAGAGGCCACGTGTGTAAGATTGATAACACTTGAAAAAAAAGCATTTCTTTTTGAGATATTTCTCTTAACAAAAGAAGAATGAGTGGTTATTCATGGATATCATACTATTGAAATTAATATGTATGATAGATGTATCAGTTCTCATATTGTGAAATAATCATTTTTAAATGAATATGTAGGTATGAAAAGTTCATCAGTTTTATTTGTTAGCTATGAGTAAATCAATATTTAGAAAAAAATATTGTTTGATAATCGATTGTTGAATAATCCATAACACTCAGATGAAAATTGTATACAATCTTATAAAAAAATTTTTCTGTTAGTCTTCGAATTATCTTCTTTGATTAAATCATACTATACGATTGATGATATTTGCATGATCTTATAGAATAATATATTTATATGATTTATCCAAGGATTCATACAATATTTCATACTTTACAAAAAAAAAAGATGACTTTCAAATTGCTAAAGAAAAAGAGATCTCTTTTTTATCAAATGTAGCTTTCTATCTACAAGAAACATTTGTCTTGATAATATACTAGATGATAAATATCGATTAATTTGATGATATTCAATTAAGAATTTTCAAAAAAAGTAGATTATGCAACATAAAATGACAAATGAAGTTGTTAATCTAGAAAAAAACGATTTGAAAAATCTCGTTTAAATGCAATATTTGTTAATACTTGTACATAGATAAATAAAGCTGTTCCTATTATCATAAAAATAAGCATGATTCATTGTTATATAAATGTTTGATGTAAATATGGATACTAGTGTCTGTGTCATATAAACGACCACTCAAACCGCATACACACTTATAACCAGATTTTTTCAGAATCTTATCATATTCCACATTGAGAACGAATAAATCAACAATTAATTATATATTTTAATCGTATCTATGTTGCAGAGGAAAAAGAACTTTTACAAAACCAACAAGCTTCTCTGAAAAAAATTGACAATAAATTTTCATATTGCTATTCTTCAATGGTAACTGGAGTTGTCAAATTACTTTGCATATATGAAATCACAGCAAATTGATTCACTAAAGACGAGAATATTCTATTTCAATAGCTTTTTTTTTACTAGTGAGTGTTCAGGAAGTACTATGAAGATTAAAGAATTATTCAATATACTTTATTCTTTACTTTCATATTAATTCAATATTATTATGCACGTTGTCTACAATAAAAAGCAGAATAGATTAGAATAAATTCAAATAATAACATAAACAGTTTAAATAGAATAAAATCTACTTCGATTTAATTAAATTCATTTAGCTATTTGAGAGTTGATTTTTGTAAGAGATCTATTTTCTTCAATACTAAGAAAATTAACATCTAAACTTAAAACAGTATGTGATTGTCATGTTTTTTTTTCATAAAAATTTACATTCTCATCCTCAAGATTTCATGTACATGCGGTAAAATTCGAAAAGAAAATTTGAATACTTTTTCAGTGAGTTTTTTTTTGAATCAATTTTCTGATTAAGACGAACTTAATACAAAATCTTCCGTATTTGAAGTATGAATAAAGAAATTTGTTTATGAGACTTTCAAATGAATACATTCACTTGAAATGAGTTCACTTCAGTAGACATTGAAATTCTCTGATAATACACAAAAATAAATAATTTCGATTTATAAAATGATATCAATTCGACCGAATATTTTATAATTATCTAGGACATTTTATTGCCAATATATCGATTGGCTCGTTCAGTTCATTTTCAGATATAGAGAGTGTAGATTAGTTCGTTTTGTTTTATGAATTGTATTCAGTTTAATGATAAAAAAAGAAATCTGATGATTGAACTAGATTTTCGTGAGAAGAATTACTGAGTGATTCTTTTGTTTTATACCGACAACTATTTCTTGCTCAATTTCACTTAAAATATAGAAATTCAAAACAATTGTTGACACTAAGAAAGAAAATGATTTTGGATTGATTATCAGACTGTTGAAAGTTTTGTAGATTAAGAGATAATGAAATATCTAAAGATCCACTATAAATATACGAAATAAAATGTCATATGAATTGGATATTGTTTATTTTGAAAAAAAATATTTAGATGTCTGACTAATTTTTACTAAATATATTTTATTTTTTCCGCTTTATCGAAACTGTGAGTCTGGATTAGTAAAAAGAAAACTGACACGCACATGAAGAAAGTATTGTTGATGAACATCATGCTTCAATATAGTGATCATAGTAATCGCATACAATGTTATCTTTAATACAGATGACGACACTAGTATTTCTCATTTGTGATGGTTACAAACAGAACAAGCAAAAAAATGAATTAATGCAATTCTACCTGTAGCAGTTTATTCAAGATAATAGTTACGAAGACATTGAGTGATTCATGAAACCAAGCAATAATTTCATCCAAAATAGGAAAGTTATTGCACAAACGAGTATGACAGATGTGTCATATTTTTCAGTGAATACAATACTGTTTGAACTCATAAACACATAGTTACCTGTATGTCGTCAATAACAGTCATTAGACAAGACATAAGAATAAATGATTAAGAATTGTTTAAATATTATATTTTCTCAGTGTTTGAGCCATTTTGAAAGTGAAAAGACTTATCATTGTAAAAAAAATTTCAGTAAAAGTTGATATTAATATGGGTAGTTTTGCTTATTCAGATCCATCTAATCGATCATCGCCTACAGAATGTAAGTTTTTCATTTTGATATACAGTTGATTTTTAACCAAAGTTGCATTTTCTGTTTTCTATTATTGTTAGTAAAGAATGTTATAGTTGAGCGAAAGGACTATGAATCAATCTCTTCACAAGCTCGTGAATTGTTTAATTATCAAACAGTATTTGAATCGAAAATTGAACGAGAATGGCTATTGAACAATGTACGTAGTACAACTATTCAGATCAAAGTTGATGAGAGTTTATATGAAGTGAATAGTAACTATGTTCTCAAGTTTGTATCAAATATTTCAATGTCGAAACCTCGATAAGCATTGATTTTAAATAGTGATCAACAGAAATTCGTTCTCATTCTTCATGAATTCGATGAAACACATAATTGGACAATGTAAATTTATTTCATTTTGTGTTATGACTATTTTATCGAATTGATTTATTCTAGTTGGACAAAAATGATAGAACCACTTAGTCGACGATGTTCATATTCTGTAATTCTTGTTGATTTACCAGGTTTTGGTCAATCAGATGGTCGTGATTTAAATCAAGCTAGCTGGAAACGACATGGACCAGAGATTATTGTTGCTATTCTTTCGAGTTTTCATATCGAACAACCTGTTAATAATTATACTTGCGACTTGTGGTAAACTCAATTATTTTTATTATATTTATTTAAATTTTATGTAATTAAATGTTAGAAGGATCAGCTACTACGGTACGAACTATCAATCGATATCCTCTATGGTTTCGTAGTGTGGGTGTGGGGTGTGGGTGTGTGGCTGGGTGTGGGTGTGGGTGTGGGTGTGGGTGTGAGGGTGTGGGTGTGGATGTGGGTGTGGGTGTG